GATGCGGCGCAGAGCAACCTGATCCAGTTGAGGATGTCCCTGCTCATGGCAGGGGGGTTGGACCAGGTGGCCTTTAAAGGTCCTTTCCCACCCAAACCATTCTGTGATTCTATGACGTGGCTGGTGCGGGCCGCAGTGGCCATCCCATGCCACCTCCCAGCAGTGGGAGCCTGGGCTGTGAAAAGCCTCACGTGCACGCGACGCTGCCACCGGTGGCAATGGCCTTCCAGCCAAAAACCCAGGCTGCCTGGTCCCCGCCGCCCCCCACGCCGGTGGAAAGGACTAGCTCCCGGGTGCCTGCCTGCAGCCCAGAGTGGCAGAGCCACAGTGGCAGACACGAGCTCAGCGCCGCGCTTCCGCCTCGGGGCTGGCGTGGGTGGCTGTCACTTTGGGAAGCTGCTGTCCGCAGGCTGATGTAGCAGAGAGGGAAGCCGCAGGGCTCCATGCCCAAGAAAAAGGTGGCCTGAAGGACAGAGGATGAAAGGTGTTAATGCCTTGGAAGGAAGAGGCGGCTTGGGGCATGGAGAAGGACTGGGTCCTTGCAGTGCTGGTAGTAGCCTCGTGGCGCTATGGATGTCAGTGGTATGTCAGCACAAGCTGCCAGGGATGCTTTCTTGACCTGCAGTCCAATTCAGTCCATAGGGTTATTTAAAAAATGATCAGGCAAAGGACAGCAGAAGCCTAAAATACAGTTATCAGGGAGAGCCAACCCAACGCAGCCAACCTCACCCCAAACCGGGAGCTTGCATCAAGATATCAGCTGGCAAGATGGACATACAGGCTGTTTCCAAAGAAATCCGAGCGCAAGGGGTCTTTCCCCGTCTGAGCACACGCAGCCTGACCCCAGGGCCATGCTCACCCTTGGGGCATGCAGGAAATCCCACGTGACACCACAAATGCTCGGACAGCAGAGCCCACTTGAGCTCCTAACACACGAAGGAGCTCCTCTCTGCCCCCAGGGACACGAACCAGAAGCGCAGTGTCCACCACGAAGAGGAGCTGCTGATACACTTGTGTTTTCCACACTTTTTGCTGAAATATAAGCAGTTTTTCAGGACTGTGGAAATAGAGACTGGATCCAAAGCAGAGCACAAGTAGGGGAGCCCTTCCAAAAGAGTGGGATTTCATAAACCACCAAAAAACACACTCAAAACCAGGACCGAATGCTGTACTTAGCATCCCTGCAAGGTGAGGATGCTCATAGGAGCATCCTGCACACCAGTTACTCATCTGAGCTGTACCTACCTCCGAGGTATTTAAATACAGTGCAGAGACCTGACCATTGAAAGACAGAGCAAAACACTCCTGCTGCTCTGTGGAAACATCTGCGTGCCTGGAAAATGCACTTGCTTACTGAAACCTGGGTCCAGGGAAAGGCACCAAACCAGATCCAAGGCTTTGTTTGTTTCCTACAGATTGCCTCTTTTTTCCCCGCTTGGCAAACCCACCGGGTTTTGTTTTGAATGGAGCCGAAACGAGCATGCGTCTTTGTTTAGCAATCACAAACTCACAGAGATCACGCTCCTGCCAGTACAGTTTTGTTGGAGCTCCAGAACGCTATTAGCACAGTGCTCGGAGGAGCTCAGCGTGGTGCACAGCCAGGAGCTGCTGCACAGCACCCGGCTCAGTGCAGGGTGTCCCCGAGCACCAGGCAGCCGTTTGGCAATGTTGGTACGGCTGCACGTTGTCTCTGCCGTCTCCATGCCCTGAACGTCGCGGGGTATGGAGGTGTTTCTTGAGCAGCTTGTGACCCAAGGCAGCAGAGTGCAGACCCCGTGGCCACCGCACCACGGCACGGCACTGGATCTGAAAGACAACTCCCAGCAGCTCGGCACCCAAATAAGCTGGAGAAGAGCACAGCCCAGGTGAGATCTGCACCTTCCCACTGGCATTCAGCACCCTGCACCTCTGCAAGGGGAGAAGCGGAGGATTCCCTGTGGGAGCAAGAGGAAGGCAGCATCATGTCCCACCGTCCAGGCTGCTCCCCCCATCAGGAGGCTGTTGCATCCCCTCGTGCTGGCAGCGCAGCAGCTGCAGCATGTGGTGAGGACCCGCTGGGACCAGCCCTCACTTGGCTGCCGGAGGGGCCGTGGCAGTGGGGAAGCATGTGGGCTGGACACACGATGTCCCACACCATGGGGCTGGCTGGCGAGTTGGTGGGTGTCCTCCCAAAGCACGGCCTTGTTCCCCGCTGCAGCACAGCAGGGAAAAGCCTGGCCGCACAGCTCACCCCCACCGCACCTCCTTCCTAAATCACAGGATCTGAATCTGGGAGAGATGGAGACATCAGGACGGCAAGACAGGTTTGGAGCCAACTGAGTAGATCACTTGCTGACAGTCTGCAGAGGCCTCACATAAAACACACAGTTTCTGCAGGCCCAGCAGTACATTTTGGGGAGAAAGGGGGCAGAGACACTTGAGCAAATTCTGCTGCAACACAATAATGCTGCTGCTCCTTATTTTATTTTTAATTAAGCATCCTGATTGCTGTTTTTAAGTGAGCCCAGAAGGAGCTTGTGGCTTAACCTCCAATAAAATCCGACCAAAATCCAACTTCCAGTTCCTTGGTCTCCCGCAACAGCCTGCTACCAGGACCGCTGTCACATACACGCTGCCATCCCAAAGCAGCACTGCCCTGGCTGTGCCCACTCCTGAGTCCCTCCCGGGCAGCTCCTGCCCTGCCTGCACACACACCTCACAGCTCTGCCAGGACACCGGGCACTTCTCGTGCCGGTGCTGCGGGGCGGCGTGCGATGGCATCTCTAGCCAAGATGCGCATCAGCCCATGAGCACCAGCCCTGAGCTACTCTGAAGGGGGCACCGGCTGGCACAGCCTGGCTCCGGGCACACTGAGGCATCCCTTGAAAGAGGAGGAACAGAAACTGCCAGAGGCTTACAAAGGCTCCATCCACTGACCTGGGTCAGAGAGGAGATGTTGGAGGGAGAAGCAATGTCCATGTCAGGCCGTCGGCCCTGCGTCCCAGCCCAGCTCCGCTGGCGTCACTGTTTTCATGAGGATTTACCCCAGCATTGCTTCTGGCCCGCCCTGCCCAGAGGCTCGCACGTAAAGCATCCAATTTCCTGCTTTCGTGCTACCAAATTTCTGTGGGGACCGAGCTAAGCAGGTATGTGTATTCCAGATCAAGGGTGTCCCTGCCTCAAGGGGTTGCTCAGGATGCAGCATCCCCCTGTCACCAGCATCACTTGTTCCTGGGCACCTCCCAGTGCCAAAGTCCCACAGTCCCTCCCCACCCACGGGCACTGGGGAAGCCTGATCTGCTGTCGGGAGCTGTGCTCAGCCCTGATCTCTCACCTCCCAGCCGGGGTAAACCCTCCTCCCTGTGCTCCTGCAATGCCAGTCTTTAATTGCCGCTTGACATTAAGTATCTGAGCAAGGAAGTCTCGGGTAAATGTTCTTGCTATGGGAACACACAGTGCTGAGTCTCTTTAATTACATTGTTTTTGTTTGGCTTTTTTTATTAGTTGTGCTGTGGCTTCCCCTCCCTGACAGGCCAGCGAAGCGCACGCTAAATATGGCCGGGTTTAAGGTCCGTGAAACCCGAACCGCGGCACCAGACTGGCTGGACTCCGGGACAGCCAGGGGTAGTCCCAGCCGCTGCGGTCCTGCTCTGGCCCTGCGCCCCCCAGCCTGCTCAAACACCCGCGGCCGAGCAGCTCAGAGCATGACCACCACGCTCCAAAACACCTATGCATCCTCTTTTTCCTAGCCCCTCTCAACGCTGCTGGGAACCCAGCCTAACCCTTTACTCCATGGACTCCAAGCTGCCCCGTCTCCATCATACCCATCACTTCCACATTGGTCCCCATCCCTCCCCAGCTCCATCGGACCCATCACTTCCACACCCGCCCTCCTCACCTGCCTAGCCCACCTCTGGGCTGCCCCTCAGGGCCAAAGAGCCCTATTCCCACTGGCCATGCGGCTTTCATCTTCCTCTGCCCCCTTTGTTATTTTAAAGGCATTCCAGAGGATGCTGTCAGGCTTGGATGTGGTTTGGTTGGGTTGTTTGTTTTCGTACTGGAGGTTTTATGATCGCATTGGGAACGAGCCCTAATTGAGCTGCAATTCGAATTGCAGTCCGTGGGTATTTGTTTCATTTTTGGAAAGGCTTAAACAGCAGCACAGCTCAGACTGGAGAACGCATTTGGTTTTAACTGGAACCTGATGGAGACGGGACTGAGCAGGACGGGCTGCCCCGAGCCATGACCAAAGCTCCTGGGGAAGCCCCTGCGTGGCCGCCCCAGCGCCAGGTACCCATGGCAGCACCAGGCAGCGCCGTCTGTGACCACAGCCCTGGGACCACCAGGAAACCCTGCCGCTGCCGGACAGGAAGCAGATGGAGCCAGGATTGCAGTGCTGAGCCAAGTGCGCAGCCCCCAGGCCCGGCTCGGCTGGGGCTGCAAAGCCCTGCACCCTGAAAACCCTTGCACCCTGCATATCCCTGCACCCTGGGGATCGCTGTGTCCTGCAAACCCCAGCCCTGTGAACCCCTGTGCCCTATGAACCCCTGTGCCCTACAAGCCTCTGCACGCTGCCAACCGTTTCTCCCTGCAAACCTCTGCACTGCAGGGTCTGTGAGCTTGTGCTCACCCAGCACCCCAGAGAGGGAGCTTGGCACCGCTGCCTGGGCGACCCGGCCCCGGGGGCAGGCTGGGTGCTCCTTGCTCGAGTCAGGAGCTGCCTCCAGACCTGAGCTGCTTGCAGGGACCGGGCAGCAGAAAGGGACAGGACGTAAAGGTCAGTGTCCAAACTGCCCTTCACAGGATCTACATCGGTGTCAACTTCTGCTGACCATGCCCCACGCTGACTGCCAGAACGAGCAGTTCAGTCCCAGCACCCAAAATGTGCCCAATGCTTCTGGCACACACAACCCACTGGACCTTTGCAGGTAGGGACGGGAGGACAGACAGATTTCCAAAGCACAGAGGGACTGGCCAAGCACCTGCTCTGCATTGCAGCGGCGCTTCCTCCAGTCCTTCCAGGGTCTCACAAGTCCGGATGCTGAAGCTGGTCAACAGGGCTCTGGAAGACACCATCCTGGCTAAATCTGACTTCCGCATATCAAAAGCGGATGAGCAGTGGAGACTCACTGCCCCTCTTTCAGGAAGAAATCCTATCCCAGCTCAGCCTGCCAGCAATGAGCACTGCTCTGTGCCACAGATGCATGTGTGCAAACTCTTCTTGGGGGTATCAAATGCAGAAGCTGAGTCATACGATGCCTGGTGTCAAAGATCACTGAAGGTACAAGGAGAGGGAAAAAAATATCTCTGTGGGGTTGCAGGGGCCCAGCTTGGAGCCAACCGGGACGGAAGGCGGATGCTCAGTGTAGGCATGCTCAGCCACGTGGCCAGGGCCCAGCTGCCATGCTGGGAAGAGCGAGAAGGGATCTAAGACCACGCTCATCCAAGCCTGGTCCTGTCCCCTCGCTTGACCCGACACCCAGT